TATGGTGATGGGTGTGTCCCTGCAATAGGTGTGTTTGCATGACTTTGCATGGCAGCACACACACACACACACACACACACTGCGGAATGTGCAGCTTGCCAATGATTTCCATATTAATACGTCCTCCCACCCCTTGTTTCTTCACGGATCTTCCCTGTCTCAGGGACTTCGATTATTTGAATAAAATAGTCCCCCAACCTGAAGGCTGCAGAGGAATGATGGGTGTGTGCATGGCCATGAATGTGTTGAGGTGTAGGGGGGGGTCTTGACTAAACATTACCATACCATATGTCGACATCACAGTGCACAACTATAACACCAGCCCGTGTCATCCAACACAAAAATTGGAATTTCATTTCCCCTCGGTGGAAAATTGGAGCAGAGGGAATTAGCCTGTGATCCAGTCTTGATATTTCTCCTACGATTTAGGGAGGTCTGGTGGGTGCAGCGGCCTACATCAGGAGGGGGAGGTGTGCGCATTATTTGCCTAGGATGTATTACATTACACCCAGGAGAACGGCAAAATTGGCCGCAGCACAGCGCGACATAAACAAGCCTAATCGGACGCCTGCGTTTCATGGTGACACAGCCCGGTGTAATGAGGTGACCCGGCGCCTCTGCCCTCTCCTACTGGAAAAGTTCAATGCCATGTCTAAAAATAAGAGAGAAGTCAACGTACAGGATCACTCTCTGTCTCTGCAAATGAGCTGGATTTGCATCATCTCTGCTGAAATAACAATTTCAAAAATATACAGTACTGTGCTAAAAAGTTTCAGGCAGGTGCACACACTTCAGGCCTCGCTCTTTAAAACAAATGTCAAGAATCAGAAACTCATTCTTGACAGTTTTGTGGAGGGGCGTCAGGTTGACCTTAGATGACCTTTTATGTAGTTTTAACTGTGCAGCTCGTCTTATTAGGAAAGCATAAAAAAAGGCAATAGTCTAACTATAACTAAGTATCTGCAAAACCATTTAAGTCTTTAGGCTTTATGTCCTGCATACATCTGGCCCACACTGTAATTATATTTATATCATTGATCATGTGTACTAGAGTTGACCCGCCAGTATATAGGGGCGATGCAGTCAGGATTTGTAATATTTTTTTGTTGTTGTTGGCCTGTGAAAAAAGATTTACATTAAAAAGGAACTCAAAAGAGACGTAATAAGAAACAAATTTAGTTTTACATGTGTTTATAAAATTAAACTTTGGTTGTTTCAGTTTTAGCGTTTACGCAAATAAAAATCCAGAAAAACTGGATGATTTCATTGTGTTACTGCTGCCTCTTAGATGACATCCCCATTTTCACGTAAAGAAATCCAACATCCTTTCTTCTTTCTGCACAGCTCTCTACGGTTTGTTGAGCTCAGAAACTGGAACTCGTCTGAAATGCGAGCGAGGCCAAAGTCTCCCTCAACAACCTTGATCTCTCCAAATCTGTCAAAGCCGTCACTGCTTCAGATGTGTGAGCTCGCCGAGTAAAGTTTCAGAAATTTCAGTATGTATTTATACGGCATGGAGGCACATTACTGACCGTAACCAACTTCTGTGAAACTAAAGGTAAGACAGAAGGCTGAAGGAGAGCCGCTGGTTTGGTCTTCAATGAGAAGGAAAAGGCCCGTCACCGTAGAAAATCTTAATAACCACAGTGGTGAAAGCTCAAAGACTCAGGTCGTTTATAACTGACATTTCAGAAAATATTCAGTGTTAATTTCAATTCTTACTGGTTGAACGGGCACACTCGTAAAACTTTTACTAACCGGGAAGCCTTTCCCTGAAGGAGGTGAAGTTTTAAAGGTATAATAAAAAAAAGAATTTACCAACAATAAAATGTGAAACTATATTTTGCTTGAATATTCCTCCTGCACTATTTTAATTTTTTTAAGATGTAAGACGATACAAAAACACATTCACAACCAAATTGTTGGTCTGTGAAGAGAAGGCCTGTGTGCAACAACCTTTCATTTAAAAGAAATTCAACCAATAACAACTGAAACACGTAGGTAAATATGAGGAGAGATTTGAGTGACGTCCAAAAGTAGAAATTAGTTTGAAAAAAAAATTACACGTAACCCAGCAGCCAATCACAGCCTTTCTAAAATGCATGCTTTGTTTTGACTACTCAACCATTTCATCACAGTGACCAACAGTCCAGACAGTAACTGGGAGGCCATGCACTAATATAAGGCAGTGATGTCACCAAGTACAAAGTCCTCAACTCTATGCTGCAACATGAACATCCACAATTGATATAGTCTGGCCACGTCCTGACCAGTCTGACCTCGATGTCTGACCTCATAAATGACATCATAGCCTTAACTTTCTATAAGTAAAAATAATGAAAAGTTATCAACTCTTAATTTGACTATTTTAAAGTTATTTCCTCCTGACTTTATTGTGAGGTTCAACTTAAAAATTAGTGAATGAAAGTTCCTCCACCCTGTCACTTCCCTATCTTCTACTTTGAGCTTCTTATTTTAACAAGTTCCAGGCACCTTTCTTGTCTCGAGTCAGAGACGCAACAAGCTGTCACCGGGAAGAGAGTCTGTGTGAGACACAGTGAGTCTGTCAGCACAGTGCCAAGCCACGTTGAGATGTTGAGGTGAGGCAGCAGTCAGGAGAGAAGGCACAGGGCACTGCTGCCGTCTTCTCGAAGATTACCAACACCTTCACGGGCCACACAGCAAACCAGTCCAAACAAGAGCAGACCGGTCGTCGGTGTCTCACCGTCGCACACACGCCAGACAGATACAGTAATTGGCAGAGTTGGAGACAAACGGAGGTGATTCATATCTGAGAGAGTCATTAGTACTGAATAAAGCTGCCTTTTAGCCCTAATTATATTATATGAGTGTTGCTCTAGTCAAAGAGATATAAGATGCAGCAGAAGTACTGCACATCTTTATACAGTTACTGTGGGAAGGGGGGGCTGCTTTCTGTGGAAAGGTCAAGACCCCTTTTGTAGGTTTAAGGTCTTTACCTTAATGTATGTCGTTGAACTGACATTTAAAGTACTTTATATTCTTGTATTTGACCTGTAGAATGATTCGTTAACCAGAGAAAACCAAAGACAGTAAGTCAGAAAACAAAAAATAAAACAAGATCATCGGTTCACAGGGCACTTCACGTGTTTCCTCAGCGTCCGTCACTTGATTAGATAATGGATGATGGCCATTTGCGTTGGGCTAAATACAGTACAAAAGGTCATTAAAACTTCATGAAATCTGTCTTTGTAACGGTGCCAGCTTCAAAGGCTGGACTTGCAGCGGAGATCTTCTCTCTTGTGACTCAAACCAGGGACACAGGGACTCTGATTTCAATATGACAATGCCGGCGGCAAAAGCATCACATCCCCTCGATCCCCAGGGTCCACGTACTCCGCTATATCAGCGTGCCACCCACACCATTTGGGCCCAGTGATCCAGATTTTGCTGGTTTTTAATTAAGTGGAAGGTCAAATCTCATCGCTCTTGACTTGAGGGAGCTGCTGCTGCTGCTGCTGCTGCTGTCTGCGAGGCAGAAGAGCTGCAGCCAGTCATTCATTTTATGGAGCAAGGACTTTAATTGATTAAAGACTTAAGGACTGTGGGGGGATGTGTGGTGAGAGGCACAGAACAGAACAGAACAGAACACTGGGTTATTGTGATGTTGATCTATATTCAGATTTATGGAAATGTTGGTCTGATTTCTGCTGTTACTATCGTTGCAAGTACAGTATATTTACGTGACTTGAACCTTACAATAATGTCAATCATATATTGTCTTTTCATCCTGTCCATTTTTAAAAAGCAGATGTGAGGAACCATCGATATGAGCATGAATTTTTAAAAAGCAAATGTGAGGAACCATCGATATGAGCATGATATAGATTTTTTTTTTAAATCCAGAAAATGTTCCTGTGATTTATTTCCTTGCGAGCTCAAATGCTAATATCATTTTTCTCATCTCATCACTTCAAGTCATCTTGAAGGCTGCTGTCACTCCCTGTCTCAAGTTCAATGGTTATTGTGTGCAACAGATACCCGTCGTCTCTGCCTCAGACTATATACATCTCCACTTGAAAGCATTTGGTAAAAACAAACACAGGCCATGATGTGAAACAAAGAGCCGGTTCAGTCCCCGGGGGAGGGCTACGATGTCCGGTCCTCTCCCAGGCTCCGTCTTCGCCCATATCAAAACCCCACAGCAACGACTCAAGACACAGAGGTCACCGATCGTAACCTCTTACCCTCTCAGGAGCCGTATCAAATACAGAAGAATTATATTTGGAATACAAGTGGAATATGACACTGCAATATCTCATGTGACAACAAACACGGCCTGTTCTGGCTCTGATTGAACGCTAGCCCAAGTAAACACGACTCACGCCGGCGTAGTGGAGAGAATCTTGTTTTTCTGTAAATGTAATCTCTGCTCCTTCAGTTTGTTAAGTCCACACCAGTGGGTTTCAAACAGAAAACAATCTGTTTGTTTTCAACATGGTCGGGAGCAGCAGCATGTTTACTCCCCGTGATCAACAGGGTGGTGGGTTTGAGGCACAGTCAATACAACGTCTGTCCAACATAGAGGAGTACATTTTAACACAGTTAAAATGAAGCCAATCTGAACCATGCTGATTTTTTAGGTTATTATTTATCCTGTGTTTCTTAGCTTTTTCATAATTTAGTCATTGAACTGTTTCATTTCTCTTTGTCTCAGGTGCAAATGCAACCTGCACGCCAACAGCTGCGTTTTTGACAAGGGAAAGTTAGGCTGTGAATGTGAACACAACACCACAGGGCCCGACTGCAGCCGCTGTAAACGGCACTACCACGGAAGAGCCTGGAGCGTCGGCTCCTACCTGCCTATACCTAAAGGAACCGCCAATATATGTGAGTATATATACGTGAGTCATTTGGTTCAGTTTACATTTGTCCATTTAAATATTAGAGCATGTCTATGGTTGGCCTGTGTTTTGGGATTTCAAAAGGTGCTTTTATTTTGAAAAGTAAAATCAAGGTTGAATATTGTAACCAATTATGTGAATGTATTTTAGTCGTCGGTATCTTCGGCCGGCTCTGAGGCAGAAGGTGCCTTTTTGCATTATCTCTGTAATAATCTTGGACAGGATTTGAGTCACATATATCAAATCCCGTGCCTCAGGCAGGAGGCTCATTGCCTCAATAAATCTAATACAGCCACTTGGGGGAGTGCTGGTGGACAGACAGGCCGGCAGGGCCAGATGGTGGGAGATCTAGCCCTCTGGTCTCCCATTCATACAGGACTCAGTCTTGCAGACAGATAGTCTCAGGGTATATGTTCTGGATTTTTAAGCAGGTTTTCACCACAAGTCGCGGTGTTTGTCTGACTCCAACTCTCAGACGTGGTGGTTTGATTGGATCTGTTCACAGATGTGATATTGCTATTGATCCACCGGTGGTGCATAGGTTGGTTTGTCCGATGGACAAGCTTTTTTTTTAAATTTTCTTAGCGTTGTTAGTGTGAATTAGAGAACTATTTGTATAAGAACGAAGTTTATGATCTCGCTGCTGTCAATGTATATAGAAAAGAAGGAATTTGGCTTGGTTCATTGGTGCTTTATAATAAAATTAAATAATTAGAAACAAATATAAGCATCAAATACATGAAATAAAGTTTATAAGTAGATAAAAAAACAATATATGTTATAGACAAAGTTGAAAAAACAAGCAGAAGGCTGATAATTTGTATAAAGTCTAAAATGACTGATGTTGGCTGTACTATGGGCTGGATGACAGTCTGTTTTAGATGCACAGAACAGTACGCGTCTGCCCTTTTCACACAGGACACACATTTTATTACGTGCGGGCCTCTGCTTTCGGAGCGACTGTGAACTCTAAGGAGATATTGCTGGATTTACCCCCGTGCCTCTTCTTTGTTATGAGCCTCCTTTAAGTGCAGCACCCGGCGTCAGATTGACAGGCCGTTATTAAAAAATCTCACAGTCGGCCGCATCTGCACCAAACTGATGAAAGCAGAGTCTAGCCATATCAAAAACAATATTAGCACTTGTTTGACAGTGGCATAAAATGCAATAATGTTGCACATAAAAAAAGGACGTAGAAATATTGGTCCCCCAGGTGTCGGACGAAAACTCTTTTGTCTCAAATTATTCCTGTTTCTCTCATAAGTGAAGCCCGGGCCTAAAACATGCCTTTATCTATTACCTGACGCTCATATTTCCCATGAAGATATTAAGCAGACGGCCCTCGCGCCAAGACAAATATGCTGAACATGCAAAATGTAATTATAGTTTAATAGGCTTCATCTGTCACCAAGTCTGCCTCTTTAATCACCGAGGTCATTTATTCCACAGGTAGGAACAGAGGGGGAAGGTCCATTACATATTTAAATCCTTTTCAGAGCAGATATATGGATAACAGCTAATAAATTACAGCCAAAAATAAAACTCTGGGTCTCTATGGCCAGTGTGGTTTTGTCGCAGACAAACTCATGTTAAAACTACCGATAGAAAGAACCAGAAAATTGGTCCAAAATGTGGAAATGCAATTCATACCACAGTCCATGTGCACAGAGGTTTGATTCTTCTGACATTTAGTCAGCAGCAGACCTGTTATTATCATCAGAAGTATGGAGATCATGTTGTCTGAAAAGACCATTCTGCCTGTAATCAGTCAAAACTGAGGAAAAAACAAACCAATATAATAACAGTTTTTAGGTCCAGACGAACAAAAACACAAGACTGTTTCACTGCTTTTGATGTTAAATAACACACCAGTCCAGATTCTGCACATTCTAACGAAACACTATTGTTATATTTGATTTTTCCACAGGTATCCCCAGCAATCACGGACCAGTGCGTAAGTACAAAGTTCTTGTTGACTCATAATGAACACTGTTCAAAAAACTGTTTTACATCGTTTTACATTTTCACCATTCATCTGGGCATTCACATTCACGCCACAGGACCCCAGACTCATCAATATATTGTAGGTATATGTAAAGAAGGTCAGGCTCAGACGGGGGGTCTCCAACACGTCGCTCGAGTTAACGTCTCAACCTTGTTTTTTTGTGCTACTGTCGGGGCGCAGAATGGAATTTCTGAACTGTTGTTATAAAAATTTTGAATTTTCTGTGTTGGCCAAAGAAGAATCAAAGAATAAAATAACTGCTCCAAATGTTATCCAGCCAACGTTGTACAGCGGGACTGATATTTTCATCTGTATTATTCCTTAAGTATGTGTTAAAAATATTTGCGCTCTCTCCAAAAAGCACTCGGGAAATACTGATGTCCTCAACTGTAGATAAAAAGATATAGAAAAGATAATAGAATATATTTTTATTTTATTACACTGGCAGCCATTCACCACACAGATTTTCCTCGTGTACACACTCCTGTACAACAGCCAAGCTCGGGCTGTCACCTTAGTGATTTCAAGGAAGATCTGTCCAACATCCCAGCTGCTGCTGCAGCACTCCTGCATGCTGTCCCTGTGCCTTAATGACTTCCACATTATCATGACAACTCAGTTTAATTTTCTTTTCTCGTTTTCACACAGATCGAGCAAATGCCTCATCTCTCGGTGTTGCAAACCGTAACCAAGGTAGGCTTAAAGGGTTTAAGTTGTTCAGCATCTTTATAAAAACACGGTAAATCACTGACTGTTCATTATCGATGAGGTTAGAGGGATAAGTGAGCACGGTGCAATTAGCCGCAGACTGTGATGCAGCGGGTTGTTTTTCCCCATGCCCTGATGCTTTCATCCTGCACAAACACACAAACACGTAACTCATCCTCACACGATGAACTTTTGTTCTGGGAACACTGTGGAGAACCGACCTCGTGCCCCATGATTAGAGTCTACAGCTTCCTAACCTCCTTGGTCGTGCCTCCCTCCTAATTACACCGTCCTTTCTGCCAAGCATAGGAAACAGGAACGGAGGAGTAAGGTGTTGATTGATTTCTAGCTATTTCCTGTTAATCCACAGGTCCAGGTGGTGGGTGGATGAGTGAGGAGTGGGGACCTTGAGGAAATAAATGATAGGGAGAAGGTGATTGCTCCTCTTTTCTACAGTGTGTGCTGCCTATGAGAAGGTGCATTATTTTCACGTATGTGCCAGAGGAGCAGCATGCTTGACTGTGTTAGTGTGTGGTCCAACGTTAAACGCATTAACCAGCATTTTCTTCGTACGGTGTAATATCCCTGCCAGTATCAAGTGCCTCTGCACAACTCTCAACTTAAAAGGTTCGAGTTATGACTAATGATGATGCATTCATGTTAATATGATAACAGGATGCACGGGTGAACGCAGGTTTCAATTTTCCCTGACATCATGGCAAAAGATATTGATCCGGTGTAATTGTAGCAACACTATTCTGTCTCGGTGCATATAATTAGCCGATCCAGTGTCTTTAAACTGGCTCCGGTTTTATACAACTACACTGGTCAATCTATAGTTTTATAGTTTTACTCAATAAGGTGTGTAATATAAGATTAGTGTTATTATAATGTGGAATTATCCAAGGCCCAAATTAGATTTATTGACATTGTTTTTGTAAAAAAATATTCCATGTGTAACCAACAAAGAACCTTACTGAGGCAGCTCAACGCAACGGATAAAGTTTTTCTTTAAAAAAGACAGAAAGAAAAAGTTCAGTATTGTTGAGTTAGAAGATCAGCCAACATTTTAATTTCTAGTCAAATTATTATTATTATTATATATACTGTACATATATATAAAATATATATAGGGGTGTAATGATACTGAAAAGCCACATTCCGCTACGTACCTCTGTATTGTTGTCTACATTTTTAGCATGTAAAAAGACGTATAACAACATACATATATTAATGTAAATAACTGTAATCTGCAGTCAACCGTTTCTCTGTCCGACAGTGGGTTTCCTCTGTGCTGCTGTGTTCATCACCAAAGCTCATAGACAGACAATGTTACAACAGTTATACTGGTAAAATGTCACACGTATGACAGAGGTGTGAGATGCACATACGTCTCAGGGAGAACAAGCTGCTGCTCAGCATGAAATCAAATTGCTGTGTTATCACTAGCTGCCAGCACGAGTCTGAGAGAGAGCAACAGTCAGAGGTAAACGGCCTAGAACATACAGTCAGAGAAAACACTGTGTGTACGCCATCTGGACTCAACAATCACATCATGTATGTATACAGAATAAAAATGGACATTTGTCATTAGCAGCAGATCAGACAGAGAGACTTTTTTAAATGGCGTCAACAAGAGTCCATTTACTGTAATGTTCCAACCCCCCCTGAACGCAGTAATCCAGGTAAGTGTTTTCTGTACAAATAGTTTTGCACTAATTACCAGCGGTACTTCTGTCGGCACTTGAGGATTATCTTGCGGTTCAGGTCCTTTTTATGGCCCACCGAGACAGTTGGCAAGGCTGACACAAATTACCAACAGTGCTGGATTATCTGAACAACGAAACGTGGAGGAATTTTGTGTTTTCTCAGATTTCAAAGTTATCATCCACGAAAGAAATAAGAAACAACAGGAAGTGGACGAGGGGGTGTTGCCAGACTCATTATTTGTGTGTAAGTGTTCAACAATTATTCCACCGCCACGAGACCTGAGCGCCTGCTGTAGTTCTCTTTATCTTCCATCAATAATGATTTCTTTTTCAAAGTGTGAATGAAACAGTCAAACACAACAAAGCCGTCGACCACAGTCTCCTCAGGTGGTTAAGAATGGAAGGACTCAATTCTACCACAGCACAAAAATGACCAAACTTGATGAGGGAAAGTTTTCAACCAATGATCCGAACATGCACTGAAGCACACACACACTTCACCAGTGTTTTAGAGTTCTTATCTGATCCGTAATTATTCTATGCTGATCTTATTCCGCAGTGTGAGCCCTCTAACTTACAGTAAATCCAAAAAAGATGTGATAACTATTTATGCAGTGGGGAAGATCCAATTACATTCAAATCTCCGGGCAAATATTGACACTTCCTGGATTTTAACCTCTGTGAGGAGAGAGGCTTCCTGGAATGATGAAATCTCCTAATTTCCTCAAGAAATATGGATATTCAATCTTCTAATTTCCTCAAGAAATATGGATATTCACTTTTTATAAAGACAAAAGGTATTTGGGAGTACAGGGTCTCTGCTGTAGTAGCTGCTGTTTATGTGTTGACTTGACTGCTTCAGAACTGAGGCAGATGCACAACAGGAGTCCACATGTTACTGTTTCTCTGCCCTAACTATTCTGACCAATGTGTCGTCGTGTGGTTTCCACAGTGAATCCAGGCACTGTTTCCTTCTCCTTCTCCACTCTCTGTTCCCTAATTGTTGCCGTGCCAGTAGGAAACAGAGAGGTTGTTAATACTGCAGCCTGCTTTGATTCGCTCATCATTAACTCCACTTCATCAGCCACTGGCTCGTCTGCTCTTTGTTAAGCCCTGGATTCTTTATTTTTAAGTTCTTCCGTTGCTGCTGCAAATACCCACAGACTTGGTTAAACGCCTGTGTTGTTTTTGTCACGAACAGACATTGACGGGCCGCGGGCCGTTTCCTTGAATTCATAAGCGTCCCGGTTATTTGTCTCCACTTCATCTCTGCACTCTGCTCACAAAAGTCCTTGGCTTTGCTCTCCCTAATGTGTCAGCTGAGCGGTGAGGACACAGAGGAGTGCAGACAGGACCAGAGGAGGCAGCTTGTGCCCTGTGAACTCGCCTGTTGCTGTTCTCTGTCGTCTTATCACTAAGTGTTCCATTAATCACTCCCTCCTGTCTACCTAACCCCCCCATCTCTGCACACCCACCCACCCTCCGCCCTTTTTACTCTGTCTCCACAGCTCGCGTGTGTGACAATGCTATGCTGCGCTGTCAGAACGGTGGCACATGCCACCATCATCAGCGGTGCCACTGCTCCCCCGGCTTCACCGGCGTCCTGTGTGAAAGAGCACGCTGCCAGGGTGCAGGCGAGTGCGATGACCAGTTGTCTGGACAGGCCACTCTCTATCAGCCGCTGGTCAGCTGCCACCTCAGTCTGGCCCTCATAGTGCTCCTACTGCTGACCTTTACCCTCTGTTGAGGGACTGGACGGGCCTGACACCCTCAACCACACCCTAGGAGCTCGACTCTGACACCAGAGGACACGGAGCGAAAGGACACGTGAACAAACAACTCCAGCTCGGCATAAGAAACTATTTTGTAAATGGAAAAGCCACATCTGTGTGTGTTGGTGAAGGCATTTCTAACAGGAAGTGCACTGACCTGTCACCCAGAGTGACAGGATTTAAGAAAAAGGCTTAGTGAAGTCACTGCTGTCTTCTGCTGTCACAGAAGAAAATAGGTGGCGTTATTGTGATCATGTCATTGGTTGATGTTTCATTCAAGGCTAACTACAGACTCAGATGAGCCCACACGAAATCTGAGAGTTCAGTTGTACAAAAGTAGCCACCTTGATTTCTGAGTATCATCTCAGGCTAAAGAAAAAATAAATAAAAATGAAAAACGTGGAAAGGGACATCCTAAACACCTTGCCTTGCTGCCTCCCTCCTTACTCGTGACCTCTTCTCTTTTACTGTCCTCCCCCCGTACCTCCCACCGTCCCTTCCTCGACCCCTCCCTGTGCTATGGTGACTCTGGTGACTTTTCTTTGCTGAAGGATGTCTGTCTTTTGCCAAATGCTGCACATGTATTATTATCCAGCCCTGTGACAACAAAGTACCACCGCAGTACTGTTATGCTTTTCCTTTCTCAGAAGCTTTGTAGTTAGCTTGAGCTCACATGTACTGGAAAAAAAAAGGTGTAACATACTGTAACTGTATTTAATTTTGTATAAAACAGATATTTTCATGACTACACAAAGTGAGACCTATTTCTTTTTTTTCTCTTTTTTTCTAATGCCACAAACTGACTTGGTAGGGACAGTGAGTGGGTTTACTTTTATTATTATTATTACTTATCTGCTTTGCCTGCATTAGGCGGATAAAACGGTCCTAAACACGCAGCCTTGCAGTGTCAAATATTGACCACTGAAAATCTGTGATGAGATTGAATCCCTACATTTTAGAGATGGAGTTCTTACCAAACCAGCGTCCTGCTGTGGGAGACCACATGACGCCACACGTTCAGAAAATGAGCTTTAATTCACGGAGGTTACGTGACAAGAAATAAAGTTGCGTCCCGCCGGGTGACATATTGAGCCCAATTTCATATGAGGGTTTAATTCCCCCCCTGAGGTTGTCATGGAACTCATAACTGTGTTAGAGTCTACTGTAAGAGCCTGTCATTAAAAGACAGTGTCAATGAAAAACAGCAGTGAATTATTTTTGGAGACTTTAGTCTAACTCTTAAAAACAACCAAGTTTAATGTAAAATATATATCAACAATAGAGATTTTAAAATTTAAAATTAAAACTACCAACAATAAACATGTTTAACATTATGTTAAACTATTGTTTAAGTTAAAAAACAATAGCAACAAATGTAGGAAGTTTTTTGTATTAGAATCTCCACATTGTGGTGACAGGATGAACTGCATGTTGCTGCTTTTGCAAACATTTTTTTTGTTTAAAATACTTCTCCACTCTTGAGAACTGCTTTTGCAAACAATTTTTTTGTTTAAAATACTTCTCCACTCTATCATGTTATGAACACTGGGTTCAGAATAATGCAAAAGTAGTTTTTCTGTTCTAGTAAAAACTCTCCTTCATGTCCGATCTATTCTAGTCGAGTCTGGATGCACGACTGAGCGACTGAGGTTTGCACCAGTAGCCGTCGCCCTGGGGATGTGAGGATTTGTGAAGGTGTCATTAACTCAGCTCCTTATATTGAAATTTTATAGACATATACTGCAGCACATGCTCCTGTCAACACAAACTACTTGGAGGAACTCCATGAATTTTTCAGCATGAAAATAAGAAGAGCTTTTTATTTTTTTCTGAGAACCAGAAAATGCCAACAGTAAACTTTTTTCTGCAGCAAAAAATAAATAAAAATTCACTTTAAAAAGCTGCTTCAACTACCATCCTTTTCATCCGTATTTATCTTACTTTTCTCCATATTTAATGCCTTTGTTGCTTATAAGTGTATCTTAAGAAATAATCTATTATTTATTTTATATTTTTTTAATTAAATGAACATCATATTTGCACCAAATAACATAATAGCAAAAGTTTAAATTGATCAAATTGATTCATCCCTGTGCAGGAATAAAGACCCAGCAGCCTACTGTACGTATGCAGCATTACACTTTAACTACTTCCTGTGAATGGGTTTTGTTCAAGGTTTCTCTCACTTAACGGGCTGGGCAGGATTTAAAGTGGGACACCAGAGACTGGTTAAGTTGACTGCTGGTGTTTTATGGCAGTGTTTTAGAGCCAGAGTGTGTGACTTTATGAAAGACAATTACGTTGACATGTTAGTGCAATAAAATTCATGTTTTGTTACTCCCTTCTGACTTAGCGCCGTATGTTTCCCGAAGTCCAAAAAGATAGGTAACGGGTCAGCAGATGATTCTTTGATTGATTTAAATATTAAACAACGTTTTCTTCAACATTTGGTTCTTTGAACCTAAGCAGAAATCGGTTGAGTGGTAATACAAGTATGAGTACTTTTAATTGTGTACTCGACACAGCCAGCTGAACAGAAAGGGAGCAGAGCTTTTACACCAAACGTCCACAATTAAACAATTAAAACACACGCAACTACGACACCCAGGTTTGAAGACATTTCGCACAAGTACAAATTCTACGTGATATTTGACAGAAAATAAAATAGTACCAAGGTTTATTTTTGATCAGCTGCAGTATGTATTTGGCCGTGTTCTGCGGAGCCACCTGTATAAAGCAGTAGAAACTGCATCGACTCAAATTCATATAGCAACACATCTGTAATGGCACTTATGGAGCAGAGGGGGCGGCGTGCCCTCTGCGGCCCTATCAAACGCCTGTTCACAACCCTGACATCGCAAGGACAGCTGGTGTGTGGTTCACTGGCTTGGCACAGAGAGCCGGAGTACAGCAGAATCAATAAAGAGAACAAAGGGAGCTGAAAGAGCCTTCACTGGAAAATAACACAAAGCCCTCTGTCCCACTCTCTGGAACAAAAAAAACCTCCTCCTGCACTCTGTCCACATCCATTAACTTTGGAAATGTAGTCATCACTTACAAGTCACTTCTCATCTGTGGCCGTCCTTGTACTGTTGATATATTCCACTGTAAACTTGTCAGACCAGCATCCATCAGACACCGACGCAGCAAAAACCCTGCAGGACCGAGAAAAATATGGAATTAAACACATATTATGTTAAGGTACATTCAGGTGATAAAATACAACGCACATATAGATGCTGCCTGAAAGACATTGATTATAGGAATAAACCAAAACAATGTTTGTTCTGACTCCAATCATCATGTCATCAATAAAAACCAAGGCCTCAGTGGACCGTTCTGCCACAGATGGATTTTTTTTTCTTTTTTTTTTACTTAGTTGCAAATCATCCTCCAATAAAGGTAAAAAAAAGGGTACATGGTAAGAGAAGTTTAAATGGGTGGAACTGTTGTTTTTATTACAAATCTGATCAATTGTTTTGTCCATTAAATATCATAAACATCATATTTAATACATCATATATATTAAATATGATATATTGTAATAAATATTTAATATATTAAATATCTCAAAGTCCTAGGCAGGAGAGGTGAGTGACAGAGAGGTGTCAGGTGTCACGGACAGATGCTCAGCTTTCTGCCAGGCTAACGACTGCGGTGCTAAGTAACTGACGACGTCTGCAGAACATCCTGGTTCCGACTCATGACGCGCCGAATCACTTTTTGCTGCAGCGTGGGTTTGAATGCAGCTCTACATACGTACACTAATAGGACCTGAAGTAGGTGTCAACCATTTTACTCTTAATGTGATCCTCAGTTTGAGGCTAAGGTTCCGCGCTGCATGTGGTCATTATCCAGAGTGGCTGCAGATTCAGGAGCGTTTTAATACGAGCTCTCCAACCTGGGTAATTTGGCAGCGATGATATGAGAGCGTTAGCCATTAATGCACATTTATTCACCATTTCAAATGTAGGGGACCCACCACTGTTACACATCAAAGCACAGCCAGCTCAAGGAGCCACGAGTCAAGAGGAATTAGAAGGGTGAGGGAAGGAGGGAGGGAGAGGATGAGGGAGTCAGACGGGGAGAGAGAGCAGAGGTTCTCGGAGGATTAGTCCATTTAGGCTGCTTTGATCTGTGGGATCTTAATTGCTGGGCAGCAGTGGTCGAGTCCTAACGGAGTCTGAGCAACGACAGCCAGATGACGTCGGCTCTTTGTTGTCAAATCAGTCTGGGTCTGAACAAGGTCGTCAAGGTCGCCACAGGTTCTGAACTGGTTGATAGCTACTTTTCAAATGACCAGAACAAAGGGATCTACCTACACACAGTACATGACGTGTTGATTACCTGACTGTAGCTGTGTGGCACAGTATGATTCTGCTGATCTAGTTCCAGAGATTTAACATAAAAAAGGTGTTTATGAGAGAGAGGACGGAGGAGTGATGTTTACCAGGAATCCCATCCCCACCACAGTCCACTAACTTTAACGTCAGTAGTTGAACATTGCTGGACAGTGAAACTCTGCAGCTGTACTTTTATGATTTCCTACGGAGGTTGATGGTCACAAGACAAGAGCTGCATATAAATCCCGGGGATGAAGTCTTCCAGAGAGTCCAGTCCTTTTGGGAGGAACTGAGAGCTCAGTGTATCTGAGGCTCTCTCACTTCTTTAAATCCCTCTTTAACCCCAGTACAGAGACCCACAGAGGCTGAGTGGGAAAGAACAGGGGTTAAAGAGATCATTCAGACAGATGAAGGTGATGCATGACTTCCTCTGCCTCTCTCCTCACTCCCTTTTTTGGTTTTCCTCACCCACACACTCACATCCTATTCCTCTCTGTACTTCGACTACTCTGTGCAACCTCGTTCGACCGTCTCCCTCCCTCCCTCTCTGGCTGCTGCCCAACTTCTCTGTCATCGCCTTTCATCTCTGTGTCTAAGAAAGGAACAAGCAGATTAAGGAAGGGAAGAGTATTAGGAGAGATGTTCTTTTTTGCCTCCCTGTGTCGGGGGGCGGGGGTTGCTCTTGGCACAGCGGAGCTGGGTTTGGTCATTAGGGAGGCTGCCAAACAACAGGGTCAGCCCTGGGGGAGTGTTTTACTTTACAAGAATACTGATACTGTGAGGCTCTGTTTTTTATAAGTACATCCTGGTATTTGGCTGCATACCACAGGTACGTCTTGATGTAATGTGGAGATAAATTCCACATGGAAAGAAATGTTTATAACAAACACTTTTGCTTCAATAAATATAAAGAAAAAATTGATTTTTTTTTTTTTTTTTTTGGCCTGGGACCGAACATGAAAAAGTTGCAGTTACAGAGAGATAAAAAATTGAATTTGAAATATTTAAACTGTTTGTTTTTTTTACATATCCACCATAAATTGAAAAAAATGTTTCTATTCTTTTGAGAATTCCTTCTTTCTAGAAATCTGCTTCATTGCCACGTCTACAAAATGAAATGGAATTCCTTTTAAATGTCAGTTTTGGGGAAAAAAAAAAAAACTAACTAAAACTAATTATTTAAATTCTTTAAATTCTTTACTCTTAAAAGTATTAAAAATAAAATGTAATATGAATGTTTGTAAAAAGATTACAGTCACATTGTAAATGTTTAGGCAAAGAAAGCCTATTTAGTTTGTTCGAACTGAGCTATGAAAATAAATGTTATACAACATGGCGTAGCTTTCAGCCATTTTTTATTTTGTAAAAGTAGGTCTCTGACAACAAAAGTATGGAGACCCTTGATTTAAATAACAAAAACTTCACAATAATAAAACAAAAGAATTCACAAAGGGTTAAACATCAATGTTCCGACTGGCGACGTTGCAACCACGTTTCTTGAAGAGTCCATCTCCAGAAAACCAGTTTTACTGAAGACCAAGGGGTGGCGCTTGTCAGCACAACGTGTGCTCTTTAGGGGGGATGAAGCTGATCTAGGAATCAAACCATAATGAAAATTAAAGCCGGTTTCGTTCCCAGCTTATTGAGTCATCCACACAAAGACAAGGTGGTTGGACGGGGCCATCAGAGGGTTTCCACAGTGCAGCACGGTCACTTCCCAAAGGACCACAGAGTCCTGCAGCTCTGCAGAGATGCGAAATATGATGTGACACTGGTGAAATCCACTGTTTGACATTTGCTCTTTGTGAGAGTCTGACAAAGGGCAGCAGAGGACTTCTAAGGCCACTGCTGCTTTCTCTCAAGTCCAGGTCTCCAGGTTTCATCAAAGCCACTTGACTCACAGGGCACGGGGATTTGAGGCAATCGAGCAACTCTGAACCAGATGGTGAAGACATCACTCCATCAGTCCTCCTCTTCCACATAGGTTGAGGGAAACAGGCCAACCTGAGGAGACACAAATGCTGCACGAATAACACCGCAGCTCTGCGCCACACATGTACAGTAACTGCAGTGACTGCATCTCTGAATGCGTGTTCTATTTTGTCTGTCAACAGCATTAATTAGTCTCACACTGCCTCCCGGTTTCACAGCCTTCAAACTGAGTTAACACTGTAAACAAGGTGTAAATCAGGTGTAACTGGAACAGGAAAGTTTGAGTTCCCAAAGATACGGAGTCAAACGGACACAAACAATATCTTTGCAAGTTTAATGAGAAGCTACAGCTACCGAATTCAGCAGTGGCAGAGAAAGGGAGCGCTCCTCGACTAAACCATCATAAGTTTCTTTCCCCGTGAGAGCTTGTTGAACTCGTGAACTCTTTTCCCAGCTTATATAAAGCTCACAAACAAAAGGCTGCTGCTCTCAACCACTGAGGAGCTCCAATGTTTTTCCACCTTGCTTCAGCTGTATGTACCCAGCATAACTCACAGCATTAGCGCTCACCCACTCCTCATTACTAAATGGTCTATTAGGCTTGGGTTTCTTGACCAGATACACAAACATATACTGTAGAGTTTTGTAGATTGGCACCAGTTTCCCTTGTAATGTAGTAGCAGTTGTCCTACTGTTCCTGAATGCAGCCAAGCAGACAGAAACTAAAGAGTAAATCATTAAAGTATATATTCTTACCTCTGTATATTCCTAAATTGTTCTAATTGAGAAAACATGCAGATTAGGGATCAGATTAATGGTTCACTCTTGACTGATCATTAGAACAACACTCACAGACTTCTAACCACAGAGGTGTATCTTATTAATAAATTAAGTTCTCGTTTGATGAATTCTCTGTAATGGAGACGTGTCCAGTCATCCAACGACTATAAAATATTTCAGATACGTTGGAAAAATTCAATTTGACAGAGCAAAGGATCAGACCACAAATTACACAAAATAAAAGTTAAATCCAAGAGTGTGTAGAGAAGAAAGCTACTGTAATAAAACTAACCCTGCCACCAACTTCTCCCTTCCACCACCCGTCGGACATCTTGGAGTAGATCTTGATAATGTCTCCCTGCAGCAGCGAGAGCTGCCGTGTGTCTCTGGAGCAGAAGTCGTAGAGTGCCACCGCGATGCCTACCACTCTGGGGGAAAACACTGAGACAAAGAGAAAGGCGATACACAATTGGTTTCACAGATTCACACACGATTATTTCAGTAATGATTCAAAGACCAGTGAAGAGCTGTATGTAAAAACGAACAGCAGAGTCATAGGACGCAATAAATTGAGGAGCTCAATTTTAAAAGCAGGTGCTCGAATTTTCTATTGACGACATGCAGATTCACAGTGTCAACAGTGGATGGTCTATGAGCAGCTGTTAGGGTATTTTCACCCTTTACAGTCATGACATTTTTTTTCTGTGTATTACAGTAATAGATAAGTCAGAATACACCCAAGTTCAGGTCAACTTTAGTTCAACCCACAGTCAGATCATGACTGACATATAGGAACATGAAGCCGTCGTGTTTGATATTGTTGATTCATAGGAGGAAAATTATTCAGACGATATTTAATGAAAAATTAATTATGAACTCATCTGTGATTGGGTAAAAGCAGGCTAGAGAAAATGTAACCACAGCACATCATGAATTATAGAGTGTCTGTTGATGTTATCAGTTATAATCTCTCAGTTTCAGCATTGTTTTGGCTTTTTTTTTCTCACAGTTTCTGGAAAAGTCAATTCCCTGAAGTGCAGCTCCAGGATTATATTACATGTAAACACGGATGTGTGTTTGGCATTTGTGCAAAATAATTCGCCTCCTCCGTCTCACAAACACGGCACCGATCACATTCACAGGGCTTGAGAAAGACATAAACAAATGAATTTCAATAGATTTTCATGCTGCACAAGAAGACGTGTCAGAGTAAAGTGAACTCTGGGCCAGAATCCCTGACTGCTAATTATGACGTGGTTACTGCTACAACTAACCTTGGACTCTAACATGAACCTTGGATAATAAGCCTCAATCACACATTGTGAGTGTTAAAAAGTGCAGGTCCCCTTTTAATTAGCTGAACTGCTGGGTAATTATGCGCCGTACAGAGGCAATATTATTTTATTATAAAGGTTAAAGTGTCTTTCTGTCCCCGTGAAAACATATGTGTGGTGTAAGTGAGATGTCATATGAATGTAGAGACATAAAAAAAGAAATGTAACCACCAAATGTGGACATTGAGTAAGTGATAGAGTAGAAAAACTGTACCTGTACCTGACCAAAAAGGCGAGGAGGAAGGAGGAACAAAGCTGCAGCCAACAGGAGAAACTACAGAGGAGCCGTGGAGCGAGCAGTGGGAGGGGGATGAAGCTGTGGTGGGAGCAGAGGAAGAGAGCGGAGGGGGAGAGAGGGAGAGAGAGTAAAACATAGGCAAAGTAAGCACAAGTTTGACATGAAAAGAACGCTGGGGAGGGAAGAGGATAGAGCGACTGGGGGAACGCTGTCAAAGTGGAGACAAGGCGTTATTGAGAAATTCAGAGAGGAAGCGGCAGCAGACACATTTATTCTGTAATACTTAGGGAGTAAATATTTTTAAAGCCTAGGACTCTGCGTTTACAGCTAATCACCTTGTGTTGCTACAGTGTGATGATGTAAAGAAGTGACATTAGTTTCAGAAACACATCCCCGCAGCCTGGGAATTTCACCATAATGACTGGTGGTTACCGCCTCAGGTTGACTACAAAATAATGAAACAACCAGCATTCTATTTAATATGACGCATTATTGTTAGGGTTATGAAAAATCACCCAATAATAATATCGACAATCTGACAAATTACCCACACTACCAATGCTATTTGCACACACTGCCAAAAAAAGTTTCTTGTTTCATCAAAGTTTCACCTAAAGCTTAATATTCCATCCCATTTCCCAGCATGCGTTTGTGGAGGCTTCAACTTTGGGTCAGAGCAGCTTCAGCGAGCGCAGGGCAGCGGGTAAGCCTCCGACTTACAGGCTGACTGACACAAATGTCAACTGAATTGTGAGGGATTTTAGTGTAATTAATGTCGTCGATGACAACAGCTTCACTGGTGTTATGAAAGCAGGTGCTGACTTGTCCTACGAGCCGCCATCAAGACGCAGCGATGACTAAAATCCACCCTCTCTATGAAGCTAAATTATTAGTTAGGCTTTTGAATATTTTCTCCATCCCTCGGTCGAGCTTTGTATGAACAATATTCACAGCAGAACAACATACGTATCATGGTTACATCAGTGCTTAAACACACACTATCATTCATTAGAGCAGTGAAGAATACCTTCAACTGTTTTGCAGTTTCAATGTTACAAGAAATACACAAAGTACTGCAGGTCAGACTAAATTAAAAATACTGCCTGGTGTTTATCCAAACAATTTACTTCAGCCTTTTTTTTTTCTCTCGATTGTTCAGCCTCTTGTGTGTGTGTGTGTTTAGTGAAGGTGTCCTTTTTTTGTTTCAACTTGTTTTGAGAATGTTTTTCTTTTATCGTTGCAGACTGACATCTGTCTCTAAGCAGAGGCTGTTTACCTGGCAGAAAAAATTAGGTGCCCGCCGCAGATCGTTTCTATGGGGGTGGACTACTTAAGGCAATAATAATCTATCCCAAAATGCACTGAGGCAGCGGCAGCTCTGTCAAGGCTTTCTCACAAAAAAAGAATTGCGGTGAATGGCAGAGATGCATAAGCACACCTCATGCAGGGCTTTGAAGCCTGATGTGCTGGGAGACTGACGCTGCCTAAAGAGGCACAGGGACCAGGATGCAGCAGAATTTCACATCCAAACAGGCACAAAGGGCTAACTTTGACTTTGTTCCAACGTTTGTCTGCTTGCCTCCGCTGTTACAGCGCCTGTCGTTGTTTACACCTTCAGCTGTCTTTTAGTTAAGGCAGTTTACCTTCAGCTCTCCTCCTCTCTTTATTATTGGATCTTATTTGCAAACTTTTCACAGCTGTTGTGCAAATGTTCACAGTCCTTGGGTTGGACCACAGGTATCCCTCAGGTGTGTGTCAGCAGGTGACTGCCTCACACTTTTCCTGGCTGACAGCCCAAGTAAAATGTTAAGCGCTATCAGTAAAATTGTCAAGTCATTAATGCAGTGTTCCAAGCGAGAGGTTAGGAGTAGTGGGCTCTTGGTGCTCGCCTGCAGCATGGACCCCTAATGGAGATGTTTTTTTGTGCCAAGATTCCTTTCTTTGTCATCCACTCTCTTAAGTCTCTCTGTCCATCTAACAGACCTCACGTCACAATTCTATTTTCTAATTATTTATCCCTCTAAATGGAAAATAACCTTACTTCAAAATTCACAAAAAAACACACAGAATTGACCAAGTTCCTCCTTGTTCCAGTACAGCCATTCTGACACACCCCTCAAAATCTTCCCCAACTAACACTTACCATGGACCTAGACCTGCACCACAGGTGATGGAACCTAGTACTTACAGCTATGACTCTGTCGAAAGAAAGTATCTGACTCTGACTGTGAGAACGACTCACCGCCGCTGGCATTGGTAACGTCCGTGGGCGAAGGTCCATTGGTCATTTCCCTGTAGGGTTTCTGTAACGTGGTATCAAGACTGCTGAAGCCCTCCTTTAGAGAATGCTGTCTGTAATAGTCCACGAGGTCCTGTGGAAGAGGAACAGCACAACCACAACAGGAGGGTAAGTGATGGAAGAAAAACACTCTTTTTAGTCCTTTTTTTACAGCAAGGCAGCTTCTGTGGTAAAAAAATAACAAAAACAAAAATACTACAAATAATTTGAGCGTGGTACAAGAGTTAAGACAGATATGGTTAAGATGGTTTGGACAAGTGGTAAGAAAGATGCAGTAGGGAGCACTAATGAGTCACCAAAACGAAGGGAAATAGCAAAAACACTGGGACTGAGGAAAATTAGCCCCGGAAAGATGAAGTACTACATTGAAACTTTATATCCAATAAAAATAACTAATTGTGGAACCTCACCGTTCCACAACAGTAGCACTCATTGTTTCCCTGTCTACATGTAGGGACAGTGGGAAACAGGCTTTTGGTAATAGGTTCTATATATAGTCCTCTTTTATTTGTGCACAAAAGAAAATCTAATGTTGACTTGCATGCTGTGTTTCGTCTCCTGAGTGCTACAGAAGCAGTGTGGTGTCAAACTTTTATACCGATGCTGTAAATTGACTGCAGCAAAGTTAAAGCTCTTACCAGCACAGTCCTGAAGAGGCGGCTCTCGGCGATGTAAAAGCAGCCATCTTTGCTCAGAATCTTAATGTGTTTGATTTTATCATTGAACCTGCGGAGAATGAATAAGACATGCAACATAAAATCAAGCATTCACGGTTCCACACAAAGGTGAACTGCCACAAAGGTCCATCTGAGTGTTAGTGACCGCTGCTGCTGAGCCCAGCAACTTTGATCAACAACAGGACCGCGGGGGTCAGGGGGGGGGGGATTCCCTGCATCTGAATTCAAACGGGATCAGAAGTCCAAACCACGTCGACTTCACAAAATGACTTCAACATCAGTTAGTATCACGGCCGCCTGTTTAACGAGGTAAATATTGATATCAAACGGACAGAACAGCGTTTTTTTTTTAAAGTGGGTGCTATGGTTAATCAAACGGACAAAACAGCGTTTTTTTTTTTAAAGCGGGTGCTATGGTTTTTGTAGCTACCCATAATGCACCTTTGTGAAAAATGCTACAAAGACCAGAAAGAGATGCAGGATTCTCCAGCTTTAAGGTCGCCTCTCCTTCTTTTCCTTTTCAATCTACTGTTGTGTTCCTCTTCCCTGTGGGGGTGGGGACCTATAGACTGAATAATGTTCTTAGAAAAAAGAAACGGTAACAGAGACACCCACACTCACACAAACAAACAAACAATAGACAACAAGCTCCAGTGTCTGCCATTATTATGACTCTGACCTTTAGTGAACAGCTGTAATCTGCTGTGGATTCAGACGTTTACAGATTGTTCTAAATTATCCAGGGTCTATACAACAACAAAAAAACTCTTGTTGAGAGAAAAATACTTGAGAAAAAGACAATTTTTTTGCTGACTGTTTTTTTTCTGTGTAGTACAGAACACAGGTACATCCACGGTAATACAGTAGAACTGTATTGTATTGAAAAAACTGTCCGGCCCCTGAGACAGGAGTTGGCTCCTCCACCTGATTTAGAGGAACAATGTGTTGTTTTTCTGCAGTATCATATACAAGGAGACCGTCTGTCACGACACTTACTTGATACTAATGGCGTACTCCGTGCACTCCTTACTCCTGTGTCGGACCAGAAAGGTCCGGTTTTCCCTGTCCAGGAGCTCCACCTCGGCTTGGTATCGCTCCATTGGCCCTGCAAACCTGAAGCAGCCATGATCAGTCTCTGCACCTCCACAGCTATCATGTGTCATCAACATTATAGTTAACAGGGTTATTACAGTGAAATCTATTTTTTGTTAGCCCTTTATTAGCAATTAAGAGGATTTATTTTTATGTCTTACCAGTGTTGGGCAGAGTAGTCCACAGGTTTTGGAACCTAGCATGGAAAATACTTCTGGTCATTTTGTAATAGAATGGAGTCGATCATGTGGGCGGTGATCATTGGTAGTAAAATCACAGGGAAAAAAACTGTCCCTGTCATCATCTACTGAGAGAACAACTGTCCCTGTCCCTGTCATCATCTACTGAGAGAAACAATAATCCTGCTCAGATGAGCACTTACACATGGGCAGGGCTTGACTGTGTCAGAAGGAAAGAATCCAGTCTTGTTTGTCCCCAGAATCTTTCCCTGCAACGACAACCTCAGTGTCAGTCACTTGATATTTGTGTGGAAGCAGGATTCACTGTTCCCTGGGTTTTTTTTCTTCTCCTTACCACATTTTCTTTAATAAATCCTCAGTAATTAGCACACAACAAGCTGTGCATCTTATTTGTTTCACAAGTTAATTATGTTTCAGACTCTGCTGGCAGTACTGCACCAAAACAATAGCCCTGTTTCACACCGTGGAAAAGATGGCGTGCTGCCTCTTTGAAAACCAGAGTAACGAGCATTTAGGCACAATTTCTTTATTTCAAATCTAATTTGAATTCATCTAAGAGTTCACTGTTAAAAATTATGATGAATGCTGTTGCCATGTTCTAGAAATCTATTTTATTTATTTGTATAGCAGCACCTGCTGGGCAACAATTTAAATCATGATTATTCTTGATTCCATTGTTTTTATTTTCATTTTCATGCACAAAATTATTTGTTGTTACATGAGTTTCCATTTAAAAGTTGTGTTGAAAAAAAAAAGTGCAACAAAATTTGGTTTGCAAATGAATGAAATAATGAAGGTGTTTTAGGGCAATTTGTGTGGGTGTACTGCAATTAAGTGACTTGAATTATGAATAGCTCTGGTTTTATTAACTCCAGAGTCTAGAGTGGAACAGAGAAAGCAGCAGACTGTACAAAAATAAAAGTCAAAAAAATAAGTAAAAAAAATGTAAGTGTTTATGAATGAGTGCATTAACAAGATAATAACTCATTAACTTAACCAGCTCTTCTTTATAACGACTGAAAAGCTCAACCTGAAAGCACAAATGGATGTTGGACAAAACCCTCCATTCCATCAACGCGTCTTCACCGGAGGAGAGCGATGGAAAGTGACTAACACTCGTCCCTCATGGACATTTCAGCTTATTCCACAAACTTAACCCTCCATCGTGTACATTATCTTGCAGACAGCGATTTATCAACATTAGACCTGGGATATTCCAGGTATCCAGTTATGAGCTGAGGGTCAATTTAAAGTCCATTGAGATAATATGAGAAGACATTGACTGTTAAGTGCATGTGGCGCTCTTCATTAACTTCCTGCCCTGTTTTGCTGCTCCTCCCTGCCCCTCTTGATTAGAGCAAGAAATGCTTTTCGGGACCATGCAAGTCTTGGCACTAACTGGATTGAAAAGGGAATTTTTACCCATCTCTATGAATCATACTGTGTAATAACATTTCATCATTTTTTGAGAGCCTCTCTCTATTTGTTATGCCTTCTATAGGCGTATGATAAAGATTAAACTTATTACTGGCATAAACAGGCAGCAGCCAAAGGATCAAATTATATTACAGTGATTGATTGTATTGTTCTGCCAGTGGGACGAGGGATAATTGCCTTCTGGGTAAAAGGGGATATGAATTCTCAGTGTTCTGTAATTCCATCCCCTGGCGCCACTGGGAACACTGAAAATTGAAGGTACCCTGTGGAGCCTTCACGGTGAACCTGCACGGTTCTGTAGAGTCAGTCTGCTCCACAGATTATTACAGTTAGTGTTTAGTTCATATATTAACATTAATAACAGAAATAAGGAGAAAAAGAGTATTTATTATTATTATTATTATTATTATTATTCTGTGGCCCAATGGCTCTGAAAATTCATATGCATTTGGCCAGGCCTAAGAACGCTGCAGCACTCACAGGAGGTTAGAGCATATAGCTACTGAAGTCTTTTTATTATTAAAATTATGAATAATTTAAGTATTATTAATTTATAGTAATTACTCATATTTTAACACAAGGATGTTTTACAAGTAGCAGTTATCATAATTATAATCCTAATTAGTTAATTATTTATAACAAATACACTTTTTTATTATTCATAATATGAGTGTGATATATTATTATTTTCATTTATATGACATACTGTATTGGAGTTGAGCCTGATTATTAACATTGTGCTCAGCAGCACCACTAGTGGTCAAACACGTCCTACGGCCATGTTACAGTATCACTGCTGCTCAGAACAAGCAGACACAACAGTTCATTATCATTTTAAATCCTTTGATTATCCTCTCTCAGCATGCACGGTAACCATGGCAGCCGAGAGCGCCCGCCACCAGGATCTGCAGCATGACATTCTCGTCGCCTTCCTACCGGCTTACACACAGTCTCCTGGTGTTCGTGTCCTCATCCTCCACCTTGTGCTCTGTCACAAAAGGGGAGAAACACGGAGCACAGGAAACCGGGCTAACTGCCTACTTCCAGCCGTGCCAGGGGCAAAGACTGCAGTGTGATTGGAGCAGCGTCCGGAGGAGGATGAGGCTTTAATACCGCTGTAAAGCAGAGTGAGACGGGGCTCGGGAGGCTGCCGGAAATACTCTGATAAATCGCCATCCTTTCAAAAATAGATAAGGTCAAACACTCTCATCCCCTGGCTGAACTCATGAGGTGGTTGTTAAATGTGCCTGTACATGAGGTTGTGCACCGCCATTAAAAGATCTTCCGGGGACCAGGAGTGGCAGCTCTTTTATAATCTCTGCGTGACACTCGATTAATCAATTGAAGCAGCTAATTGGCTAGCTCACCTGATGGAGGCTGACTTGATTTGTGCATGGAAAAAAACAAAAAACAAAACAACGATGCTAAGGCTCTAATTTTTACAGAGGTTCAGTGATGTCTGTAACTGCTTTAATTTCCACTTCCAAAGAGCACTGCCCTCATCACGGTGTCATATTTATCCTGTCGGGCTGATAAACGTGACAACACCATAATTTACTACAAAGGGAAATAAATGAAGGGCATCACCCTATTACTGCCCCTTCTGTTCAGACCTGGCAGGGAGGAGTTGACACCCTGCACTGATTCAAGCCCACAACGCTGCAAAGACATTGCGTGCTCGCAGCTACCTCGCAGGCCATAACATGTTATTTTTTCATGGCATCACAGATGCTGAGATAAAACTAGCGTGTGCTGAGTGACACGCACCTGCCACCAGGAGCTGTGCAGGTCTGCGAACATCACTTCAATCACATCCCCCACATGAATGCTGAGCGGGGGGCCATACTGGGGGTAGGGCATACCGCTGTAGTCTCTCGTCACTACCATCCTGGGTAAACCTACAAGACAAAAAAAAAAAGAATATCAATAACATTAATATTTTATACATCACTAATACTATGGAACACAGAGGAAATATAATATAAATAATAAACTGTTTGAGCTCTTGTATTAAAAATGTTTTATTAAGAATTGTTAATTTTTTTTGGCTGTAATATAAAGAACGAATTGCATAGTAGAAGTGGAAAACCGTTAAAACATGGAGCAGTGATTATAAACTGGTGGCCTGTGGGCTAACTCCAGCCCAGCGAACCGTCCAATCAGGCCCGCAACTGGATTTTTAAATTGTGAGGATCAAAGAGCAAATATTGTGTAATCCCCTCTATTAAAGAACAGAAATGTCTTTAGATTTGTAATCAAATTATTAAATTATATATGTAATTACTGAGCAGGCAAAAAAATGAACTTTTTAGAAGTTTTCTATTCTTTTCAATATTAAAAAAAATGAACAAAATCCTGCATCAACTTCACAGAAACTCTCTCAGCGGCAAAAAAAAAAAAAAAAGAGTAGTGATTAAAACATAAAAGTAAAGTAATTTATAGTGTCATTGGGTCGAACCAACCATTCAATAATAATTTCACACCAACTCTGTGTTAATAATGAGAATCTTTCACTGCTATTATACAAAAGGTTTGCCCTTTGCTTGAGCCCGTCCCAAAACCAGTAATTTACCACCACAGGGATTCATCAGTTTGATTACTGGACGTGGCAAACAAACACAGCCACGGGCATCTAGCTATGGATAAGACGGAACGCTGCTGCCAACGTAACAGACAAAGCCACTCACTTCTCGGCAGACTCACACATTTAGTGCCCCCAGACGCCGCTCCCTCCCAGCCACGGCTCGTATTTAAATCAGCCCGAGGAAACTATTACGGTGACCTGAGATGAATGGGAGGAATGTCACACATTCATGTTTTTAATAAGAACAATAAGCACAGCTGTCTTCCTCAGAAAGCTCCGTTATGGAAATGGATTTATCACCGAGGCAGGGCTCGGCAGTTGAGGTTGAGTCACAGAGGCTGTCGTTGCCTTTTCTGCTGGTATTTCTGCCGCCGTTGTTCTCATAATGATTTCACCTACTCCCATTCATCTCACAGCCGTCTGGGGCTCAGGCGTCACAGCATGTGGAAAAGAAAGGGATTTTTCTCTTTTTTTATTTATTTTTTTTGTACGTTCGTATTTGTCAAAGTGAAACGGCAGTTGGCGTTTTCCTGCCTTGAACCCGACGGAGAGATTGGTGTTCATGAGCACTTCTGAGACAACATCCACAGAGAGAAAGAAATAAAAACTACAAATTACAAACCATCTTCTTTTTGCTACACAGCTAATCTGCTGGTTATGTTATGCAGACACAACTCTGAGAAAGTGCAGAGCAAAGGCTCTGACGGGGCTGACTGACCTGGGTTTGGAGAAGTTGGGTTTTCCTGTCAGAGAAAAAAAAAGGGGGGAAAAATATGAAAGATTTAATGTCACTTTTTAGTTAGTGATTTCACACCTGAGGAACCTGAAGAATAAGTCATGAACTGGTGAAACCTTCACCTGTGAAGACCACACAGATATAAAATGTGTAATTTATGTCCATGTCTGTGAAGTTCTCATTTTTATGTAAAATCATTCTCTGAAAAAGCTCTTTATTTTGACCACATACAGTAGATCAGAACCATCAAAGACTGTCAACTTCTTTCATGATTAAATGTTTAATTCCTTCTTTGCTAACTTTACTACTCATATATTCAGTGACTTATAATTAAAAAAATCATGGCCATGTAAATATTTAAAAGTGATCAAAAACAAAACAGTGTTGATAAGACATCATCAGTGGAATTTACAGCAAGATTGAAAAAAGGGTTCAGTTCTTACCTTGGGTTTCAACTTGGCAGAATCTGGAAAGCAATTAAGATTGATTTAGAGTCCTTATATATAAATAGGAGTGTTAGTAATTTGGTTTTATGGATAAGTTAAAGTAACTCACTTTGTGATGGTAGGGAGTTATTTAGGCAAATTAGCTTTAACCAAGTATCTATTAAACAAATCTGCATCAGGCTGAAGAGTTACACTTCACCTGTCCTTCCACACACTCCCAGTCGACTCAGACACTCCTTGTGAGCCCCCAGACCACACTTCAGACACAGATAACCCTGGTTGAAGATGCCCCTGGTAACAATAAAAACTGGATATGATACACGTAAAAGGACTTCATCCCTGAGTACAGTGAGGGGAATTGACCGACGTTAGAAAAATGTCACAGTGACTTTCGGAGTTTAGTCCAAACTCAGGTGGTTTCATCATGTCTCCACACATTGACGCTTCATGAAGAGGATTTTTATCTGTAAGATTTAACCAACAACTCATCGTACAGCAGCAGGTAATGACAGAAGCTGCAGGACGTGATCTTCTCAAACGTGTGCATCTTGAACTGGTGTGAGTTGTGGTTGGCTTTGTCTGGACGAATGTTTGATCTGAGGCGCAGGAAGAAGGAAACACAAATGGGTTCAGTGGGATTCAAATGAAATGACCGAGTTGTGTAGGAGCTACAGCTGACAGTGATCAAGTATAGTTTCTGGCTTTACCAACTATAATAAATGGATCTTTGACTTGTGGAAAATTCCATCTGCCGCCCACTCCCCTTTGAGCCTTTACAAATGACTTAGCCTCTTGTTTTGTGCTTTTAAATAATCTGCTGCCTGGTTCCAGTTTACCTCACCCACACTTTGATTGTTTTTTAATCACAATTTTGCCTTCTGAACTTCAGGACCAGCAGATACCAACAAAAGTGGTAGAAAAATAGTTTCTGAAGTTTTGAGTCTCATATTATATCTCATACAAAAAAAACTTGACTGACATCATCAATTTACTCTGCAGATTCCATGATTATCCCTGTTTTTTTAATATATATATATGTAATATATCAAAGACAACATTTTTACTGCAAGGTCAACATAAATACTGTGTAGTTTAATACACTAAATACTTCAGTAACAGTCTAAACCCCTGTGGCAGCAGCCTTTTTGTAGTGCGTATGTTGTGTGTATGTTGTGTGTGTGTATGTGTTATCACACTGTCGTCAGCAATGTGTGCTCGGTCACAGCTGAGACCTGATCAAACACTGTGCATAACAGAGTCAATACCTCCATCAACCTTGGAAACATGGAGGCAAAACAGACCAACTCTGCAGCCATGCAAACACAGCAGTACATCGTTTGTGCTCCCTGTGACAGACGCACTGGTCGTTGGAGTGAATTTACTCACATGGCCATTTCAAACTGATCCAGCCACTTCTTCTTCAGCTCTCTGGTCTTAAAGAAGAGCTCAAAGCCCATGTAGCCCTGATGGTGAGTCACATAGAAGCCGTAGCACCACTGTGGGGTCAAGAAGAAGAAAAATCATGAAATATTTAAATAATTACACCCTGGGTCATTTTTTCAGGTAAAAGCAAAATTGTGCACAAATGTTTTGGGTTTTTTTTTAAATAATTTAAAAAAATAAATTGCATTTACACTTTTAAATCATTTAAAAAAATAAATTGCATTTACACTTTTTTTTTTTTTAAATCATTTTAAAAAATAAATTGCATTTACACTTCTTGATCAGATTTAATTAGGAGGCTTCATAATTAGACAACCTGCTTTTATACTGGTTAATGACTGCCAAGATAATTATTTTTATGTTCCAATTGCAAAATCAATTCAACCCATACAAAAAAAACTTATTAAATAAGAAAATTATAAAACTTTTCTAACTGCATGTACTTTGCTACAAGTCTACCTTTTTTTTTTTGTTTTCTTTCTTTTGCAGGGTGTCCTCTGGTGTGAAATACACCCACTGGGGGCAGTAATGAAACCCACACAATTCAGAGCTGATGTTAAAGATGGTAAAAACTTGCATGTGTTGTGCATCAGCTAAAAAGAACAATCAAAGAGATTCTCCTGCGGGAAGTTAACTTAAGACTATAGACTGCAGTTTCTCAGCAATGCTTAGCCTAAGGAGTGAGAGCAGGGTTGCCGGGCAACCTCCCAGTGATGACCACATTCCAGGAAACCGCTGCACAGGATATAGACTGACACTCTACAGTCTCTATTGAATACACAGACATTAGATGTGTAAGCCACTGAACTTTGTTGTGCTGCTAAGCAGATTGTAAAACAGGGAAACATTAGCACTCGGACATGATTGATCAACTCATTAAACACTGCAATTAGTCGCTAACAAAATGTCAAACCTTTCAATGATATTTTCTAAAAAATAAAAAAGAAGGTTAAATAGGAAAATTGGAAATGAAAAACTATCAAGAAAATATGAATATATATTTAGAAAACTAAAAGACATGACAAGAATGTGCAAAACAAAAATCAGGAAAAGAAGCTGGTGATCATCCTGCTGGCTCTTACTCTTTTTTTTAGTTTGTTTTTTTAATTCAAAATAGCCTTGGTGGCAAGGGATTACTTGGCTGACAAAATATTTCACAGGGGGTCCATCACTAAGAACGGATGAAACTCCTGGTGTAGAGAGCTGCAGCTGTGGCAGTATTTCCTCAAACCTGCCCAAGGACAAATCAGGAGGAGTCTGCTGATCTGGCCCTGAGTGACCCGAGTTCAAATGACAAAATCAAAGTCACACGTAGAGATGTTTTGGCAACGAAACCATCCAAAGTTCTCAAATATAGATTTTTCACAAACACATGCTAATCTGTGATTATTTTTTAATCAAATACATAACACATAGATGGTGCTTGTTTGCTTTCCTCCCAGTGACACATTAAGATTACCTGCTAATCCTTTATTTCCAAACGTAACCCTACCGTGGTCCTTTCAGGTTAAGTGCCTTGCCCATGGGCATGAGCTGCCAGGGCTGAAAAGTTGTGAGTGTTTTAGTGCTCTGCTGAAGTGTTAAATCATTGATGACTGTGTGGGTGTTCAGTGGCACCACATTCACACACTGAAGTTTCATTTAGCTGAAAATGATATATGGCTAAAAGCAGCCTTGGAGGACTGCACACATTCATCACCTGATATTAGCATCTCTGTCCTGCAGTGTGTGTGTGTGTGTGTGTGTGTGGTCAAGAGGATGAACTGTAGTTACAAACAGCATGTCTGCGTGCATTAGTCTTGTACATGTGTCTGTCGTCTTCTGCAGCTTGGGACGGATGTAGCATCTCAACAGAGGGAGGTTAAAAAAAAAAGAAAATTTAGAAAAAGGGCTATCCATGACACAATGTTTAACTTGGTCCCACACCTATCCATGTCACTGAATGTTCTATACAACACTGTTGACACAATGTTTAACTTGGTCCCACACAAAGGAAAAAAAAAAAAAAAAACACACTTTCATCCCAAAACCCTAAATATAGACTATACTGGATCAATACAACGCACAAAAAACACACACACAGAACCGCCCCACTCTGGCAGGCTGTCAGTTTCACATTAGCAATCAGCAGTGGAGTGAGAAGGCACCATCTGTGAGCATACATCAATAAGACATCAACAAGTTACCCTCCACATCAGTGTGGCCTGCACATATTCCCAGAAGGTGAAAATAGCACCTTCTGGGAAAAAACTAGACCCATAACAGGTTTCCCTCAAAACAAAATAATTCATAAATCTTATGAATGCCAAGCTCTGGTGGGCCATATATAAAGATGTGGCGGGCCACATCCGGCCCATGGGCCTTGAGTTTGACATACTGTATGTGATGTAGCAGATATATTTGTTAGGCATCAATTCAGTATTTGTTTCAACAGTACAACTCTATAAACAACCGTTCCAAACAGTTCAGAGTTAAACTTGAAAAAGTGAAAAGTCAAAATGTTCCCTGACCTTTTTCGCCTCTCTTTCAGAGGTGGGGTTGTTTGTGACCTTGAAGTAGTTGAGGTCGAGCATGTCCTTCATCTCGTAGTTGTCCCCCCGTCTCTTGCAAACAATGAGGGCGACATCGAACAAGAAGATGTGTCTGTGGAAAAAGAAAAGAGAAATCGTTGGCATTGTGTTATTTCTGACTAAATATACACTGGAAGGTAATGTATTCAAAATATATTTTTTTTAATATCTCACCCTAGTGGCCACGCATTGTTCAGCCAGCGTGCAGAGATTTTTTTTTTAAACAGCTGTCAAATTATATTTGAATTTATACAAAATTATATTTGATTTGTTGTTAACGTGTTCCTTAATGTAACGGTAATATGTTAAATGTTGCAGCAAAGTGTTCATACTATATTATATATTAAGTGTTTTCTGAGTCTGTTGTTTTGAGTCACTGCTGAGATTTTCTTCCAAAACAATGGAAAAAATTGGAATGGGAAACCTCAGTTACAGTTGCTTTATTTGAAGTTTTCCTGCATGTTCCTCAAAGTGAAAATTTCTGGAAAGAGAAGAAAGAAAGAATTCTCCGCAAGGAAATGTCAAAAGAAATGGAACGCAGCCGCACAGCTTTGCTTTCGTCCATTCTGTGGAAACGTGAGACCCGATTAATTTGAAAATTATTTCCACAAGATTGTCAACATGCCTGGACTTGCCTTTAAGGTGTCAAAAAATGTGAACAATTTTCCTGGTTGCTACTACATGTCAGAACATGACATGAAATTTCAAAGAGAGAGACACAACACTAAAAAAAAAACAACAAAACCTGTTGGATTCAGGTATAAAAATATAATCACCTGTCCTGTTTCCTCTTGTCCACACTGGAGATCATGCGCACTTCTCCATCTCCCTTCGGACGACCCAGAGTGATCAGAGGCTGATTCTAGAAGAAAACACACGTAGGTTCACGGACAGTTTAACTGTTGATTTGTGATCGTTTCTGTTGTTGATCAGGCCTCAGGTTTCCGTATACATTCATTACATTAAAAAGAATTGTATTACATGATTTTTTTTTTCAGGAAAAAACAAATATGTGTTTCCAATATTTTTGCAATGATGTCTTTTGATATTTGTTTATACCAAGTTTTCGATAGATCTCTGATACTGGTCGATCTCCCTCAGAGTCTCATTATCTCTCTTCACCTCATTGATGTACTGAGCCAGGTCCTGGACAAACACAAACACACTTTGTTGGTTTCAGCTGTTTTCTGTTGACTTAGTGTTTTTTTCCTCCATAAACCTTTTCTGCAGCACCTCCTTTCATATATAGGACATATTATTCCCCAAAAGAAAATACAATGAAACATCTGTGTGTTTTTTACCACAGTGCACAAATAATATCTAAATATCAAATTATTTTTGATCTGCTGCAAACTCACTGCCTACAGTGCACATAATAATTTTTGATCTGCTGCAAACTCACTGCCTAATAATTTTTGATTTGCTGCAAACTCACTGCCATATTCAGGAGCCCTAAATGGGCCCCAGCCCTCACTTTGGACACCATTGGCTTAGTGTGACTTACTGATTATATCTTTTTTTACCAACTATTGAGATTTTTCAGAGATATCGTTACAGAAATGTATTTTTAAAGTCCATGAATTTCTAGTATTTTTCCTGCCAACTCTTAGGGGCCGACTACATGTTTGTGACAAAAAAGCAAATCGTTATCTTTGGTGGAAAGACACAAATGAAAGACCTTCTGTTGGGCGTCAATGGCAGCCGAGCGTCAGGAATGATCTGTTAGATTGGCCCGCGAGTGGTAACAAGCTGAAATCACAGTGATTACAGAGCAATTACCATAAGCATTGCACTTACTTTCATGGCGCTAAGAGCAATATTCAAGTTAGACTTGTCTGCAGCTTGGTGAGTGTGTTTGACCAGCTCCTGTCAAAGGGGGAAGAGAGAGAGAGAGAGAAAACATTTAGAACACATCTCACTGAGTTCCATGGACAATGGGAGTAAACAGAACAAATGTGATGATTACTCAGTGATGTGATGATCCAGATGTCATGGAATTAAACCACTTAAATTAGATTAAGCAGCTATTTTTGCACTTAAGCAGACTTTTAATTTGTTTGTATTTCGAAACAATTTGCTTCTTACCTGATACCTTCTATTGTGCTACCTCTGAATGAAAAGCCTCATAATCCCACCCACAGAACAGCGCCCCCACAATAATAGTATTTTCATTAGAAAAAACATCCCCGTGAGCACAGCTACACCAGAAACACACACACTCACACACACATTGTCTTGTTTATGGTCATATACAGGAGTGTTTAAGAAACTGTCAGGTAGAAAAGAGTATGGTACACGAGCATGGTCATTCACGTGTACTGCAGTGCCTGAGTGTATGTGCAGGACTGCACGTTCATGTCACTCATGGGTGGACTGACTTTTAATGTCCCCACGAACACGTTTCCTCCAGAGGTTTTTGAATCACTCACTCGTTAAAAACGTGCTTTAATCATTCTATATATAAAAACAGTTATGAGACCAGAAGACTTTCATGATGGAAAAAAAAAAAGAATAGTATTCATTCTACATAAACCTTTATTTTATTTACGGTGTTTATTTATTTTAGAAGGAAAATGTCCAGAAAATGTCTTTAATTTACATCTGCAGATGAAAATGCGTATTTTAAAATATCTGTAACACTAAAACAATCACGACTCCATTTACGACTTGTCACTTTCAATCATCTTTCTGAAATGTATTGCTGAATCCGCAGCGACAATTTGGTGGTATTAGAATTCATGGGAAATGCTGCTATCTAGTGGATAAAATTCTACAATCTTATGGCAATGCCGGGATTCTTTGTTGTTTTTTAAACAGGGTAAAGAACCTCCAAACTGATGGAAAGATCTGGAACCAACCCTCCCAAAACCAATGGAACAATGTGAATGATGATATTCTGGGAACTGTATTTGCTTCCATATATAGATTGGGATTGTCAGGACACAGTATCCACGTCTGACTACCTGAAGGAGCAGATGGTACTTTAAGATTCTCTGCATCGGAACAACCAGCAGGTCCCTCAGGGTAAACTTTCCATTGTTGGCCCTTTTGGAGCATTCCTGGGATAAACACAGGAAACACTGTTACAAACACCATTTACATGTGTTTACTGATGATTCAGGTGAAGTTTCTAAAGTTCAAAAGTTGATTTTTATTTTATATTTGTATGAAATAAATGCCTATTGTGGGACGATTAAAAGACTTAATCTCAAAGGTCTCTCCAAATTTCAAGTGTGTATACGTGAGTGTGTGTACTCAGTGGTCTCACCTCCAACTTCAAACGGACATCCTCTTTCTCTTTGCAAATGTGGTCTAGAACTGCGATGGCGATCTCAACACGGCTGCAGTAAACCCCATAAATGAGTAACCTGCAGGTCAGGAAATAATTCTGTGATCTAACAACCATATGAAGAGGAATTAAATATAATGTAACAAACTTGATTGTTATTTGTTATTTGTGCATTGGAATTGTTAAAAAAAAAGGCAGAATAAACTTCCCAATGGACACTGAACACACTAGATTACAGGCTTCCTAACATTATGAAATAATAAATGAAAGGTTATGTCGCGTTCAAAGTCATAATGTTTTTTTTAAACATTTCTAACCTGTTGACCAGGACTATTTATTTTTAGTAGAAATAACATTGTGGATTATTTTTACTAATAGCTTAAAAAACTGGAACAGTCTTCCTTTATGTTTAAAATACTACGGTTGTTAAAGTAACATATCTCGAACTACGGTACCGGTACCACTGGTGGCATTTGAGCGCCATCTAGTGGTGCTCTGGGGGATTCGTTCGTTACAGAATACATTTATATGCCATTTAAAACCGATTAAAGCAGTAAAAGTCATGAGCCATCACCTCTCTTTGTAGTTGATGAAAATCTGGTGGAGATTGGAGGCGTTTCTGTTCTCGATTGACTCCTGAATATCAACCATTAGGCTCCTGTGCACCCTGACAAGGTCCTGGAAAAGACGACAAAATCATCCAAAGTCTACCTTTAACAATGTGTTTGTGACAATAGGGCAAAGGTTCCAGGACTTACAGGAATGTTTATAAAGATTTGTTCAACTTCTGGAGCAGTGAGGACCCTCTTTAGAGGGATTAAGAAATACTGTGGAGCGGAAAGAACAAAATAATTACCAACATCTGTAAAGAAAATATTGTTCCAAGAGGCTTCCACAGGATAATCATGTGATGTTGCTGTCATTAATAACAGGCAGCTCTACCTTCTCAATGGACTCCAGTGTCTCTGTGTATTTGTCCTCCGTCTGTTTAATTTCTGTCAGGCAGCAGCTGCGTACGTCAAGTTCTACCTGCTTCTTCAAGGACACACGGAATTAAACGTCTTCCTATTTTTATGTCAATTTTAATACTTGTATTGGCTTCAAAATCATCTTTAAGCCACTGAACATCAGTTTAATTGAACCTTCAAATGTTTGTGTTGTGTCTTGATAATAATGTTTTAATCATTTCAGGTTCAGACCTGGTGCCAGAGAAATTCTCCAGGAAATCTACAAAGAATGATGAAATTCACTACAATGCTTGGAAAGTGTTTACTCTCTGTTACACTTTGCAATCGAGAAACAACTTGAATGTTCATTTAACATGTGTACACATACTGGATAAAAAAATATTACAAAGCCTAAAAAAAAAACGATAATTTATCTTAAAACATTTATTTAGTAGCTTTATGTTTCGCAGCTAAAAAGTCACCTCACTGTTGAGGAAGATTCTGAAGGCGAGGTGTTTCCTTTAAAAAACATATTTTGCCAAAACAATAACTGTTGCAGAAAACAATAGCATATGCATGTGTGTGTTTTGTAGATGAGTCATATTGGTACCAGTGGGGGCTGCTGCTCGGCCCTCATGAGATCTTCATAGATCTTTCCACCTGTTTGTTCCAGCCCATAGACAGCTGCATACAAATCGTCCTCATCCTCAAGGACATTCTCACTAAAACACATGCATATATATACACACAGACACACAGAGAGAAACATACACACAGAGAACGGTTATCACGCTACAGTAAGGCAGGGACAGCTCCTCTGCATCATTGTTTACGGCACCATTTAGTGGAAATGCATGTTAACAATAAGTGCATTCTCAGGGAGAATGTAAATCGTCCTATAATTATAGGTGTCAAATAAGACTAAGCTGCTTTCTCGCTCCAACTCAATAATTTACAATTAAGCAGTAATCACTGAAAAAAACAGGACAGAGCTCTGAAGCTTTGCATATTTAATTACCACGACTCCTCCTGTACATAAATCAACTTGTCAACGGCACAGATCGAGGTTTGATGTGGGTGAGTGTGCAAGGAGTCAGCAGAAGCATTCAGAATTACTCATTCATTTCCTCTGACAGTAACCCAGAGTTGAAGCCAAGGCTTTTACCAAAAGCTGTGGGTGTCTAGCCCCCTGGAGAGCGTGGATGATGAGACAGGCTGGTTGTACCGCTGAGAAAAATAATTAGGTTCTAACAACATCACTGATGTGTCCATGAGAAAAAGCTTCATACGTACTCCATCAAGTCTGCCAGATTGTTGTAAATATCCTCGTCTTTCAGACTTTCTTCTGTCGGGAATGGTCTGGGAAAGACAGCAGAGCGTCATGAGGGTGACAGAACGTAGGAAATAAACATGTTTACTACAAATACTCACAATGTAAACTGTGATATCATGAACCAGGCTAGTTAGTTCTGTTTTAGCACAAGAAATGTTTTTAAGTTTGTAAAGTCACAGCAATTATTTATTGCATCATATTTTGAAGAGTGATTTTTGACATTTTACTGAGTACGTAATATTTATTGCATTTATTTTGTGTTTGCCAATAATGACAGAGAAGTTTAGAAGTTAAAGCTGCAATTTGTCCAACACGTAATGTACATTTCCTGTCTCTACTTGTCCAAACATTTGAACAGCATCGTGTTTTAGCGGCATGGTGTCTGTGTGGCTGTTTTTGTTTTGCTTGTTTTTTAACCATTAGCTACAGCAGTTTTTAATATCTCACTGAAAACAAGCACAAGTTAAATTGAGTTTATGAAATAAATGTGTAAATGACGTTTGCGTAATTATAGGTTTTTTATTTATTTATTTAGGTGACTTACTTAAATCCTGCTTGCTGTGCAATGCTTGTGTACGACAGCTTGGAGAGTGTGTCCATGACCTGGTGAAACCAAGAGGTCTGAGATTAAAATTTAAGACTGGCTTGAAGAGCAGACAGCAGATAGAGAAAAATAAATACAGTCACTATGTTTACAGCATAGAGTCCACACTGATATTTACTGGATGGGTTACATTCAGTGTTCAAATTCAATGTGTGTGTGTGTGTGTGTGTAACAAAGGCATGATGTGGAATTCACAATTCTAAATCTATAATTCCAATTCAATCTACATGTACCATAATAGATCTAAAAATATCAACTGCATGACCTCATCAACCCCAAACATATGACTGAAAGATGGGAGTTTTGAAATGAGACAGACTTCTGTTTGAGTCATTGACATATCCTTCATTGTATGTTTAACAATATATAACCAGGATGATTAACGCCACAAGATGGAGATTCTCAGTGACAAAAAGCACAAAACATCTAAAAACAAGAGAAAACTGTAAATACTGATTTACATTAAAAAACACATTTTGAAATGTATTGTTTATGTAGCATTATACAGCACAGCAGGGAGTATCATCAGCTTTACTTTGGTAATAGAGTTTCCTGATTCATGGAAACCTGCTCTGTCTTGTGTTGCGTATTGTAACATTTGAACTTGTGTTTTAATGATTTTTTTTAAATGATCATGGTTTCAGTAAAAGCAGCAGAGCACTGCTTCACACAGGAAGAGCAGATAGAAAAAGACAGACAGCTATCTAGGCCATCACCTCTGAGGTTTCTATACGTAGCTGTATATAAGCCTATCTTTTGTCAATGTGTTATGTTTGTCTTTTTTTAAATCAAACACACACAACCTCACTATCACACACAAAACACACACAGGCCGACACAGACTTTAGTAGCCATCTGATCAGTGTGTGCGCGCCTCTGGGGTGAAAAGACCACAGACTAATCATGAGAAAAATCACCTACACCTCTGAGGTGCTACAATGTTTCCTATAGTCAGTCCAGAGATAGTGACAAATGACACAATTGACACAGACGCTAAAAACACAACTAGCGATAAAACGGAAAAATAACAGTAATGAAATAAGTGTGGCAGAAAACTCAAACTGAGTGTGACTGATGGGGTGATATTACATTCAGAGGCTACTTATGTAAGAGCTTGATTAATTACCTACAAATTGATATACACACACACAGAATCTACATCCTATGTGTGTATGCATTTATGTGAACATGTAAATACTTATGTACACAGGAATATATGCAGTATATATATACACAAATGCACAGAGAAACATATGTACATATATTTACTCATATAGCATACTATACATACTCTATTCTACTCTAAGAGGTCTGTACCACGAACACATTGACCTATTAAAACACAGCTGCTGCCACAATAACATGCAATGATGAAAGACTGAGGTTTTCATCATGAGGTGACACAGGTGACCTTGTGTCTATAATCTACAGTGATCAAGTCATTTGTCATAATGTGGAACGTGGAACTCATAGGGACTATTTGACTTGGACACAACTCATAGGGACTTTTTGACTTGGACACTGCAGTATTGGCAGGTAAGAAATGACAGAAATGACTTGGATGGATGAAGCTGGTACCTTGACAAAGTCTCGGACGTCAAATAGATCGAAAGCGTCAAACAAGTCACCTTTCTTTAACCCAAACACTTCGCAGCAACACATCAGGAATGTGCGGATGTTCTTCAAGCACAGGAACTACAGGAACCACAAGAGAATCATTAGTGAATGACAGAACACTTAAATGTTGGTCAAGAGCAACTTCAAGATTTCTAGGTCAGCTACAGCATGTTTTATACAGTGTAGACGAGAGGTCCTCAAGGCTTCTTTAAGTACAGGTAAACCACAAGGACTGTGCAAGAAGAAAATGGAAACTGAAAGTTTTATGGCTGAACATGAAACCACTTACAATGTGGTTGTTCTGCGTCACTTTTTAGAATCAGTGATTCTGTAGTGAAGGCTCCAACAATATGACTTGTGAATTATGAGCGTATAAATGTCAGGTCTGCTTCAGGATTGGGTCAGTTAAGAGTAAAAAACCACGTCTCTAATGCGAACACAACGTGGACACATGTCTCTGCATATTGACCAGTTTAAGTGATGACTAAACGAGAAGCTGAATATGTGAAAATTTACAGAAATTCCAGAGAACAGATTGGCCTCTTTATCTGCCCATCATGGAGGCGCCTGTAATTACTCCACCGCCCTCTGGGGGACTGCCTGTTTGCAGAGGAAGTGCAGTCGGTACAGAAAGTATTCAGACCCCTTTGTTTCATTGCAGCCGTTTGCCAAGTTCATTTTATTTCTCATTAATGTACACTCAGCACCCCATCTTGTCAGAAAAAACAGAAATGTAGATTTTTTTTGCAAATTTATTAAAAAAGAAAAACTGAAATATCACATGGTCATAAGTATTCAGACCCTTTGCTCAGTATTGAGTAGAAGCACCTTTTGGAGTAAGTACAGCCATGAGTCTTCTTGGGAATGATGCAACAAGTTTTTCACACCGGGATTTGTGGATCCTCTCCAGTTCCATCAGGTTGGATGGTGAATGTTGGTGGACAGCCATTTTCAGGTCTCTCCAGTGTTGCTCAATTGGGTTTAGGTCAGGGCTCTGGCTGGGCCAGTCAAGAATGGTCACAGATTTGTTCCGAAGCCACTCCTGGTTATTTTAGCTGTGTGCTTAGGGTCATTGTCTTGTTAGAAGGTGAACCTTCGGCCCAGTCTGAGGTTCTGAGCACTCTGGAAGAGGCCCTGGCCCTGCCATAAAGCCCTGACTAGTGGAGGGCTGCAGTGATGGTTGACTTTGTGGAACTTTATCCCATCTCCCCACTGCATCTCTGGAGCTCAGCCACAGTGATCTTTGGGCTCTTCTCCCAGTTCCTTCGACCTCATGATTCTCATTTGGTCTGACATGCACTGTGAGCTGCAAGGTCTTATATAGACAGGTGTGTGCCTTTCCTAATTAAGGCCAATCAGTTTAATTAAACACAGTTGGACTCCAGTGAAGGAGTAGAACCATCTCAAGCTGAATACTTATGACCATGTGATATTTCAGTTTTTCTTTTTTAATAAATTTGCAAAATATTCTACATTTCTGTTTTTTTCTGTCAAGATGG